TATAAGATAAATCAGACAGAGACAGACACAGCAAGTGGATCCTAGAGTCATAAATACAACTTCAAATGGGCAACACCTCATTCTCAGGGGACAGACAACACCTTCTGCAGTATAAGTGGTTATGGTCAATTTACACCCTATGGAAATGATGACCATTTTTGTCCAAGAATTTACTCTGGGTGCTTTACATGCCTTATCTTGTTTAAGTTGTACATCAACCCTACAGGTTAACAATCTATCACTTCCATTTTGCATGAGGAAAGATTGAGGCTTAGCTGAATTAGTCTGTCTGAATATCAGAGCCCATAAGTAGCAGGATGGGACTCAAATCCACATCTATTAGCCTCTTTTCCATCTGCTAATAGGCCTCCTTATCCCCTGGAAGGCCTGACACCTTATTATGTCTTTCTGCAGCTAGAACAGAGAAAGTAGGAAGAGGTATACTTGTAGTTAAAGGAACAGGCCTACCATAGAGATCTTATGGTCAGAAGGTTAAAGCATGCTGTGGACATAGGCGTATATGTGGTGACTGAGAGCAAAGAAGGTACCTGAGGGCAGGTGGACCAGCTGTCAGGAGGAAGAACCAGCACCCACAGATGGATTGAGAGAGAAACCTGCAGTTAAACAGGACACATGATGCCTGGGGAACATGCCAAACAGACTTCATGCCCTGCTTGGGGAAGCAAGACTCATTTTTGGTGCCATCAGGTGGTGAAACAGCCACACATATACTGCTGCACTGGGCTGTCTCTGACTCCAGATCCAGGCAGGGCTGAGCCTGTGGGAAATCCCTCCAGTCCCTGAAGGAGGCTGGTGTGGGGAAGGACAGACAACAGGATGAAAAGTATCTGTAATGAAGACAGACTCCACTGGACAGATACAAAGAAATACAGTGGAATCATACAGAATTAGATTATAATGCAAAGGTACAATTTATAGAGCATCAATTCAGTTCAGTTGCTCAGTCATGTCCAACTCTTTGAGACCCCATGGACTGCAGCACACCAGGCTTCCCTGTCCATCACCAACTCCCAGAGCTTACTCAAACTCATGTCCATCAAGTCAGTGAGGCCATTCAACCATCTCATAAAAGCATAAAAGCAAGTAAATCTAGTGGCACAGAACATTCTAGAGCCTCTTGCTCAGTCACAACAGAGGTTTGGAAATTCTTGAGTTCAATTCCAAACTGTCAAAGGATATTTCTTGGGAATCACAGATTATCACTCATCAAAAACTGCCCATGGGATAGAAAGGAGGAGGTCATGTTCAGATACAAATCTGAGTCAAGAGGTCTGGGTGAGCCTGAGACTCTGCATGTCTAAGAAGCTCCAGGAGAGGCAGGAGCTGCTGGCCCTGGCACTGCCATCTGAGCCACAGGGAATTAGGAAGCTGGTGGGAGAAGGGGGACAATCTGGGAGTGAGGGGAGCAGTTTTTAAGAAAATATTATTTTAAAAAGGAAAAAATTCAGGAAACTAATATTTTGCACATTATAGCATGGTCTACTAAGCATCTGTAAAAATGTATCATCCAAATAATAGCTATGAGAAAAAACAAAGCAAAATCAATCTACCTCGAGAGCTGGAAAATATTTTATTGCCCAGGACTCTCTAAAATGATCAAATCAACCACAAAATCATCTAAACGAAAAATGCAGCCCATGTTCAGACTCTAACCAGGAAGTCTAGGGTGCCATTTACCTCATGCTGATTTTTTTTTTATGTTTGGCTGCACTGGATTCTGACTGCTTTGCACGAGCTGTCTCCAGTTGTGATGAGTGGGAGCTACTCCTGTAGTGCATGGGCTTCTCACTGAGGGGGCTTCTGTTGTTGCTGAGCAAAGACTTCAGGAGTTGTGGCACATGGGGTCAGGAGTTGTGGTGCAGGGCTTAGTTACTCTGTAGCATGTGGATTCTTCTCAGACCAAGGATTGAACCAGTCTCTCCTACATTGGCAGGCAAATTTTTATCCACTGCACCACCAGGGAAGTCCTAGTTCCTTATTTTTACTTGCTATTTCTTATGTGAATTAAAATCCTGCATAGTACCTACTATATTTTCCTATTGATTCTAACTTCCAGGAATTGGAACAGAAGAGGAAATGGGAAAAGAGAATAAAGTCCCACTTCTGCTGGGCTGGCTCACTCCCACGTCCTCTGCCCGAACCCCACCCCCACCCCCCGCCAACAGCCTCTCTCAATCAAATCTAACTAACACCAAAGGGGTGTCCTGGAGTGATGGGCACTGGGACCAGGTGAGTAGAAGAGGAAACCTGACATATACACAAGTTGAGTGAAATCACTTCATGAACACGCTTCTTGGGTGTCATCTCCAAAAACAGAAATGAAGCTAACAGTGATACTGAGAGTGGACCAAGGCACAGGTCAAAAAACAAGTTACTTCAGTTATTAATTCAGTCTCCAAATTCACTTTTCCCTCAAACACTTTAGAATCTCAATCATCCTATGATTTTCAGTTTTTAAGAAGGAAGAAGAAGAATCTGTTATGTTCCTAAGTTGTGCTACAAAGTTTCTTAGATAATTCATATTTTATGGCTTTGGGGGAAATTTAAGACAAGTGCAAGTTAACAGAATTACACTTACAATAGAGAATCTGACAGACACATTATCTGAGAGTAAGTAAATACCACCTACAGTGCTCTCAGGGGCAAGATTGTATCAAGAGCTATGGTTAATGTTTTCCTGACAGAGTAGTTCACCTTTTCCCTGACTTACACTGAAATTGCAAATAATTAGGAGGGAGTTTTTGCCCTGTGGCTAACTGAAACTGCTCTTTGGGTAACATTTGGGCATTACGTTGAATATTGTTTCATGTTACAAGGGTTTCACTCATTAAATTACAGCTACAGCCACCAGATGGGTCTGGGGTGGTAAGAGTTTTAAAGAGCAGTTCTTTCAGTTATTTACAGAGTGTGTGTTTGTGTGTGTCTGTGTGTGTGTGTGTGTGTTGGTTGCTGCTTGCTCACATCTGTTATTTACAGAGGGGTGTGTGTGTGTGTGTGTGTGTGTGTGTGTGTGTTGGTTCCTGCTTGCTCACACCTGTGTGACTCACTCACCCTCACAACCAGCAGTCCCTAGCACCCTCTCTGTGCCCTGCAGAATGCCACTTTCTGGGGACAAATATGAAAACAGGATGCTCCCTGACTTTAAAAAGCCTATTCAAGATACTATGAGATACAGATCCCAAGTTACAAAGTATGCCACAGGTGCTACCTTTTATCTTAATTATGATAAAATTCACATAACATTAAATTTAACTAACCATTTTTAAGTAGATGGTTTGGTGTCCAGTACATTCACATTGCTATGCAACCAAGCTTGAGAATTTTTATTTTTTGCCTCATAAAACTGAAATTCTTACTCATTAACAAACAACTCCCCATTTCCCCTCCCCCAGTCCCTGGAGACCACTATCCTACTTCCTGTCTTCTTGGATTTGACTACTAAGTGGAATCAGAGTTTTCATTCCTTTTGTGTCTGGCTTATTTCATTTCATTTAGCAAGATGTCATCAAGGTTTATCCATAGGTCAGAATTTTCTTCCTTTTTAAGACTGAATAACACTTCATTGTAAGGATTTAGTTCCTTCCAACTTTTGGCTGCTATGAACATAGGTGTACCATAAATGCTATCTTAAAAGAATATATAAGACACTAAGGGTATATTAGTATGCATATATTAGTATATGTACTAATATATAATAATACATACATATGTATTATATATATACTAGTATAAGTATATTAAGAATATGTTAGTACATTAAGTATATAGTTTATTAAGTAGTATATTAAATATATATATATTAGTATATATAAGGGTACAATAAAGGTATATTAAATTGAGCGTCTTGAAGATGCATTAGAGTTGACTCAGAAAATGAGGAGATTTTCACCATCCAGATGACAGAGGGCCTGGGTCTCTGAGGTAGAGGGGCAGCATGTGCACTGGGAACAGGGAGGAAGCGGTGCTTCGAGAGAACCTATATACAATCCAAGTGCAGGTGGGTGTGTATGTCAGACACACTGGCTGCAGAGGGAGGTGAGGAAGAGCTTCCTATCACCTTGTCTGTTCTGGTTTAGTCTCTTCTTCAAGACTCTGTCCTGATCCCAAGGATCTCAGGGCCCCAAGCTGAGTGTGGAAGGAACGTCACCAGCAGACATGGATGCTGGCAAGTCCAGGTCACAAGCCTCTCTGCCATCTCTCATGTGGATCTTCTCTGCCCCCTTCAATTTGCATTTGACTTTGAGCCAATCTCTAGACCCTGCCTCCATCTGAGGCCCTGGTTCCTCACTCCTGACTGGGTCATTATTCAGACTCTTCTCTGGTGGACACAATGTCACCCGACATCCCCTGCTGGAGTAGACTTGAGGCTATGCTATGGTTCTAGCAGCAGCTCAGCCAGCCCAGTAAGGATCAGATCTGTGCTAAGGAAAGAAGCAAAAAATAATAATAATAATAATTTAAAAAAAAACAGAAAGAAAGAAGCAGTCTGTGGGGGGAGGGCAGGGGGAAGCTCAGTGTGGGTGAGTGGAGGACAAGGGTGCAGGAAGGGCTAAGGGACAGAGAAGGAGGCTGCAATCAGAGGGCACCATGGGAGGAAGAGAAGATCTCAGAAATACAAACAAGAAAAAATGGAAAGGAATGAGATATTGGAGAGTTAGGGCCAGGAAGATAAGGCTGACATCCCAGACTTCGTATGAAAAATCAGGTGTCATATATAGTGTCCTAAATCAGGTTAAGATGGAGCCCCGGGTCCCAGAGTCCGTTAACCACCATGAGGGAGCTCACAACACAGGGCAAAAGCTTCCTGGTATCCCCATTCCATGGTCAGTTTCCAAGAAGGATTCACCTACAATGTCACTGATCTAATCTGCATCCATTAGGAGCAAACAGTCTCCCTGACACACTGACAAGAAAGCCAAGAGCAGACGTGGTGCTATATCTTTAGCTGGATTTTAAAGAGGCAAATGGCTTAAACTAACCTTTTGTCTTGCGTCAATCGATCCTTCTATATTCTTCAATACCAGAGGCCCGTCCGACTTATACCTGAAGTTCACAGTCTTAAAGGAAATCACTCCTTTGTTGGGCCAGGATGGCAGTGGACGATTCTCAAGTTCCCAGGGTGCTTCCTTCTCAAGGTCTGTATATTCAATCCCCCTTTCTACTGAAATCATCTGAAACACATATGACATCAAATGAGTTACTATCAGAGGGTCTTGTTTATGGATGGTCAGAGACTGTAAATGAAACCTTCTGTTGTCTATGGTTCAGAATATCCCAGGTCTCAGCATCCACAAAGGACAGAGGTAGGAGTCTGATGAGGCCTTGGATGATTTGCAAACTTGTTAATCATCTTCAACACTTTTACTTATGACTACTTCCTTCAATTTTATATTAAAACTAAAAGAATTAGATAAATGAATGGTAAAATTTTATTGATCCACCTTTCACATTGGAATAAAAAACAAGAGAATTTTGTCAAAGAAAAGAATATTTATGGACACCAATCAGTATGTGTGGCTACAGAAGGGCCACGTGTTACAGATGAGCAGAAATGGATGGTCATCAAACCTCATTTTAATAATCAGTCACTTTCTACTCTGTTAGAAGAAAGAAATGGAAAGACTTCATTGTTATTGTTTTTCTCCCTTTAGGAGGAGGTACAAATATTCAAAAGTGTATAATTTACATACTGACTAAGGCTTCCTAAACAATCATGACTCCACACCTTTGAGAACACATTCTGAGAGGGATCCTATCCTACCAGGAAGAAGGGCCGCTAGCAGGTGTTCAATACACATGAGAATAAATGATAAAATGGGGGAGGGGTGGAGGAACATAGTAATTAAATAAATCTCAAAATACTGGATTCTTTTCTTTTACCAAAATGAGGAATTGCCCATTAAGAAACAAATATAAACAATCTGCTAAGAAATTAGTTTATATTGTCTCCAGAATTTCAGAACCTCCCTCCTACAGAGACATTTATTGTATTTGAAGACAGTTTGTGATGAATATAAAGCCTTCTGACATGGCATACATAATGACTGAGAAAAATACGTATATATATTATTTTACATTAAGCACATGGAACGTGAAAGTGAAAGTCGCTCAGTCATGTCTGACTCTGCAACCCCATGAACTGTAGCCTGCCAGGCTCCTCTGTCCATAGGGATTCTCCAGCAAGAATACTGGAGTGGGTAGCCATCCGCTTCTCCAGGGGATCTTCCCAAACCAAGGACTGATCCTGAGTCCCCTGTGGCTCTGGCATTGCAAGTGGATTCTTTACCATCTGAACAACCAGGGAAGCCCTTAAGCAGATGGAGGAGAATGTAAAAAACATTGTAAAATTATGTAAAGATAACAGTTTTATTATCTTACATAAGATTTGTTTTTATGCCATATAACAGCAAGGAGACCTGAAAAGGCTAAGAACAGAAAGATAAACATCACCATGTTCTCAGCTTCAGCACTCTGCCTGACGCACCACTGGAACATCCCCGTGAGTGTGAGCGTGAGAGACAGGACCAGGCCAACCTGCCCGAGATCCAAAGCTAAATGAGGAAGAAGAGGAATAAGGTCAGTCTACTTCTCAACCCCTCACACAGGTCCTTCTGTCACTTTACAAAGAAGACTCCTTTATTTTTATGATTTTATTGGTGTATAATAGATTTATAAAGTTGTGTTAGTTTCAGTATAGTGAATTAGTCAGACATATATATATATATATAATCTGCTCTTTTTACATTATTTTCCCACACACATCATTACAGAGTATTAAATGGAGTTCCTTGTGCTATACAGTAGGTCCTTTTTAGTTATCTATTTTATGTATAGTAAATATATAAAATTATTATGTATTTATAATATTTATATTATAATATGATTTTAATATTTTTATAATATTTATATTTTATATTATAATATTTTATCTTTTATATAAGATAAAGATATATATGTAAAGGTATTATAATATCTTTATAATATTTAAATTATTTGCATGTAATGATAGTATTACTTATAATATTACTTCTGTTGTATGAGACAATAATACAGTAAAAAAAAAAAACAACCCATTATAAAGGACTTCCCTGGTGGTCCAATAGCTAAGACTCCAAGCTCCCAATGAACAGGGCCCAGGTCTGATCCCTGGTCAGGGAACTAGACTTCACATGATGCAACTAAGAGCTCACTTGCTGGAACTAAAGTCCTGCCTGTCGCAACTAAGACTGAAGATCCCATGTGCCCCAACTAAGACTCAGTACAGCCAAATGAAAAAAGTAAATTTTTTTTAATATTATGAATTTAGAAAGAACACAAAGCTGTTGTTCAGTCACTAAGTCATGTTTGACTCTGTGACACCATGAACTGCAGCATGCCAGGTTTCCCTGTCCTTCATTATCCCGGAGTTTGCTCAAATTCATGTCCATTGAGTTGGTGATGCTATCTAACCATCTCATCTTCTGCCACCCCCTTGTCCTCCTGCCTTCAATCTTTCCCAGTATCAGAGTCTTTTCTAATGAGTCAGCTCTTTGCATCAGGTGGTCAAAGTATTGGAGCTTCAGCTTCAGCATCAATCCTTCCAGTGAATATTCAGGACTGATTTCCTTCAGGATGGACTAGTTGGATCTCTTTACAAACAGTCCAAGGGACTCTCAAGAGTCATCTCCAACACCACAGCTTGAAAGCATCAATTCTTCAGCCCTCAGCCTTCTTAATTGCCCAATACGTTAATCCGTTGACAACTCTTACACGACTACTGGAAAAAAAATAGCTTTCACTATGCGGACTTTGTTGGCAAAGCGATGTCTCTGCTTTTTAATATTCTGTCTAGATTTGTCATAGCTTTCCTTCCAAGAAGCAAACGTCTTTTTGTTCATGGTTGCAGTCACAATTCACAGTGATTTTTTGAACTCAAGAAAATAAAAGCTGTCACTGCTTTCAATTAATCCCCAGATGGGCCCAGATGCCATGATCTTAGTTTTCTGAATGTTGAGTTTTAAGCCAGTTTTTTTCACTCTGCTTTTTCACTTTCATCAAGAAGCTCTTTGGTTCCTGTTCACTTTCTGCCATTAGAGTGGTATCATCTGCATATCACAAGTTATTGATATTTCTCCCAGCAATCTTGATTCCAGTTTGTGCTTCATCCAGCCTGGCATTTTGCATGATGTATTCTGCAAATAAGTTAAATAAACAAGATGACAATATGCAGCTTTGTCATACTCCTTTCCCAATTTTGAACCAGTCCATTGTTCCATGTCCAGTTCAAACTTTTTCTTTTTTTATTATTTCAGTTTTTCTTCAGAATAGTTTTATTAGTTTGTATAAGGTATGCCAACACTCAACAATTCCTCTCCTACTCTTTATTTATTTTTTTAAAATTTTAATTGGAAGCTAATTACTTTACAATATTGTAGTGGTTTTTGCCATACATTGACATGAGTCAGCCATGGGTGTACGTGTGTTCCCCATTCTGAACCCCCCCTCCCACCTCCCTCCCCATCCCATCCCTCTGGGTCATCCCAGTGCACTAGCCCTGAGCACCCTGTCTCATGTATCGAACCTGGACTGGTGATCTGTTTCACATATGATAATATACATGTTTCAATGCTATTCTCTCAAATCATCCCACCCTCACCCTCTCCCACAGAATCCAAAAGACTGTTCTATACATCTGTGTCTCTTTTGCTGTCCCACATTTAGGATTATCATTACCATCTTTCTAAATCCCATATATATGCATTAATATACTGTATTGGTGTTTTTCTTTCTGGCTTACTTCACTCTGTATAATAGGCTCCAGTTTCATCCACTTCATTAACACTGATTCAAATGTATTATTTTTAATGGCAGAGTAATATTCCATTGTGTATATGTACCACAGTTTTCTTATCCATTCATCCGCTGATGGAAATCTAAGTTGCTTCCATGTCCTGGCTATTATAAACAATGCTGTGATGAACATTGGGGTACACGTGTCTCTTTCAGTTCTGGTTTCCTCAGTGTGTATGCCCAGCAGGGGGATTGCTGGGTCATATGGCAGTTCTATTTCCAGTTTTTTAAGGAATTAGTTTATTTTTGTGTATGGTATTAGAAAGTGTTCTAGTTTCATTCTTTTACAGGTGGTTGACCAGTTTTCCCAGCACCACTTGTTAAAGAGATTGTCTTTTCTCTATTGTATATTCATGCCTCCTTTGTCAAAGATAAGGTATCCATAGGCGCGTGGATTTATCTCTGGGCTTTCTATTTTGTTCCATTGATCTATAGCTCTGTCTTCGTGCCAGTACCATACTGTCTTGATGACTGTGGCTTTGTAGTAGAGCCTGAAGTCAGGCCAGTTGATTCTTCCAGTTCCGTTCTTCTTTCTCAAGATTACTTTGGCTATTCGCGGTTTTTTGCAATCCCTATCAAACTACCAATGGTATTTTTCACAGAACTAGAACAAATAATTTCACAATTTGTATGGAAATACAAACTGTTTCTTCTTGACCTGCATGCAGGTTTCTCAGGAGACAGGTAAGGTGGTCTGGTATTCCTATCTCTTTCAGAATTTGCCACAGTGGTTTGTGATCCACACAGTCAAAGCTTTCACATAGTCAACAAAGCAGATGTTTTTCTGGAATTCCCTTGCTTTCTCTATGATCCAATGAATGTTGGCAATTCAATCTCTGGTTCCTCTGCCTTTTCTAAACCCAGCTTGTACAGATGGAAATTCCTAGTTCATGTACTGTTGAAGTCTTGTTTGAAGGAATTTGAGTATAACCTTACCAGCATGTAGTATGTGTTCAATCGTATGATAGTTTTAACATTTTTGGCATTGCCTTTCTTTGGGATTGGAATGAAAACTGACCTTTTCCAATCCTGTGGCCACTGCTGAGTTTTCCTGAGTTGCTAGTATATTGAGTGTAGCACTTCAACAGAATCATCTTTTAGGATTTTAAATTGCTGAGCTATAATTCCATTACCTTCATGTTTCTAGTAATGCTTTGAAGTTAAGGCCCACTTGACTTCACACTCCAGGATGTCTTGCTCTAGGTGAGTGACCACACCATCATGGTTATCCAGGTCATTAAGACCTTTTTTGTACAGTTCTTCTATGTATTCTTGTCACCTCTTCCTAATCTCTTCTGCTTCTTTTAGATCCTTACCATTTTTGTCCTTTATCATATTAATCGCACCTGGATTGAGATACACCTGGATTGGATTATATTGTCAGTATAATATAGGTGAGGATGTCATTGTTCAGATTTTTTCCTTATGCTTCAATTATCATTATGTAATTTCACTTTCTATGTCCAATGTAGCTGCAGTTGAAATCACAAAAACAAGGCAATGGGTCCTAAAAGCCAATGCTTTTAAATCTAAAATATTACTCTCATTTTTCCATTATCAAAGATTGTGATTCAGGGTTATTGCTATGGAATAGTGAGGGATGGTGAATTCTTGCCACACATTCCAACTACTGCTCATCTGGGACCCACACAGCAGTGAGGATACTGTTTTTGCTACAGAGAATCTTTCTCACCCCAGTACACGAGACCCCCTACAACCAATAGATCCAAGTAGCCCAAAAGCTAAAATCTTAAACCTAAGTTGTACAGAGAGCTTACTAGTAAATTGGTTCTCTCCATGCAACTATAGGACACTACCTGGAATGTTCAGAAGGCCATGCTGCTACAGTTGTGTAGACCTCAACCCATTCAAAGAAAGATAAAAAGGTAAAAAATCGCCATGATGACCTACTGTAAACAAACAAAAAAGCAAACAACTCAAAGTAATCTACAGATTCAATGCAATCCCTATCAAATTACCAATGGCATTTTTCACAGAATTAGAAAAAAATTTACATTTTGTATGGCAATGCAAAATACCATGAATAGCCAATGTAATCTCGAGAAAAACAAAAAAGAAAAATTAAGCTACGAGAAATCACATACCCTGTCTTCAGACCATACTACAAAGCTACGGTAATTGGAACAGTATGCTACTGCCACCAAAAACAGAAATACAGATCAATGGAACAGGACAGGAAGTCCAGAGATAAACCTATGCACCTAAGGTCACCTATGGCAAAGGACGCAAGAATATACAACAGAAAAGAGACAGTTTCTTCAATAATTGGTACTGGCAAACTGGACAGCTACATGTAAAAGAATAAAATTAGAACACTCCCTAACATCATATACACAAAAATAAACTCAAAATCGATTACAGACATAAATGTAAGACTAGACACTACAAAACTCTTAGATGAAAACATAGGGAGAGCTCTCTGTGACACACTTTTTACCCACTTCATAGAGAAATAAAATAAAATATAAACAAATGGGACCCAATTAAGCTTAAAAGCTTTTGTAAAGCAAATAAAACCATAAAAAATACCAAAGACAACCTGCAGAATGGGGGGAAATATTTGCAAATGAAGTTACTGACAAGGGATTACTCTCCAAAATATACAAACAGTTCATGCAGTTCAATATCAAAAAATAAATAAATAAACAAACAACAAAATTTAAAAAATGGGCAGAGGATTAAAACAGAGATTCTCCAAAGAAGACATATAGATGGCCAAAAAGCACATGAAAAGATGATCAACATCTCTAATTATTAGCAAAATGCATATCAAAACTACAGTGAAAAAAAATGGAAAAAAAAAAAAGCTACAGTGAGTTCTTACCTCACACCAGTCAGAATGACCATCATTAAAAAGTCTACAAACAGTAAATACTGAAGATGATGTTGGGAAAAGGGAACCCTCCTCCACTGTTGGTGGGAATGTAAACTGGTAGAGCCCCTATGGAGAACAATATGGAGGTGTCTTTAAAAACTAAAAATAGAGCTACCATGTGATCCAGCAATCCCACTCCTGAGCATATATCCAGAGAAAACCATAATTCCAAAAGATACATCCATTCTTATGTTCACTGCAGCACTAGTTACAATGCCCAGACATGGAAGCCACCTAAATGTCCATCAAAAGACCAATGGATAAGGAAGATGTGGTGCCATACCTACAATGGAATGTTACCCAGCCATAACAATGGGCAAAATAATGCCATTTGCAGCAACATGGCTGGACCTAGAGATTTTCATACTGAGTGAAGTAAGTCGGACAGAGAAAAAAGAATGTGATATTGCTTATATATGGAATCTAATAAAAGGCTACAAATGAACTTATCTACAAAACAGAAGTAGAGTAACAGATATACAAAATAAACTTATGATTACCATGGGATAAGGGAGGGAAGGGATAAATTGGAAGACTGGGATTGACACATACATACTACTATATATAAAATATTAAAATAGATAACTAATAAGAAACTACTGCAAAGTACAGAGAACTCTGTAATGATCTATATGGGAAAAGAATCTTAAAAAGTGTGGATATATGTATATGTATAGCAGATTTACTTTGCTATGTATCAGAAACTAAGACAACAGTGTAAATGAACTATACCCAATAAAACTTAAAATAAAAATGAAAGAATGGCCTGAGCGAGCCAAAGCAGGGGCCCACGGCACCACAGGCCTGCTGGAGCAGGCACACTCATGCCTGGTCTTTGCTCCTAAAGATTCCTAAAGTCAAAAACAGAAATTCTTTTCTAAAAGACAATTCATTTGAAGTATTAATCAAAATGCAAATTACTAAAAAAATATACATTCACCCCAATGTTTATGGGGCATGGAAAAATAATCTTTAAAAAAGTGGATATATGTATAACAGATTCACTTGGCTATACACCTGAAGCTAACACACTGTAAATCAAGCATATGTCAATCAAATTTTTTTTTAAAAAGGTGTCAACAAGGACCTACTGTGAATAAATAAGTAAATTTTAAAAAAAGATAAAAGTTCTCATCAAGATACAAATGATTTCACATGGACTACACTGTGGAGTCACATACTTCAGACACTTTAATACAACTCATTAGAACCAAAGAGTATATATTAGACATGATGTTAAGAGTTTAATAACTACAAACAAAGCTATAAAATGTAAACATACCACAAGTATTCACATCTGTACTTACATTCTACCAGAATCAGGGCCCCAAATGCAACAACAATGACAAAGATGGCACAGATGACATCTAGATACACAGCGAGCCATTGGGACGTCGTCAAAAGCAGGAACCAAGCCTCTGGATTTGTGAACCATAATAAGTGTAATATATAAACAGAAAAAACATGTTAGCTGTTTCTCATTTGGTATAGCATTTTCTCAGCTGAGCTACAAAAGATTTTATACAAGGTAGGACAGCAAAGTTACACACCCAAGGAACCTGAAGTTTCCAGAAAACCAGGTTCTAACACAAGACAATGTATGGGACACACAGGAATCAGTCCAGAAAGCATGCATTGAAAATTTTAACCCACAGTTACAGAAATACGATCACAAGAATGAAGATGGAAAATCGTCTCATCGCTGAATTTCCTGCAGTGCTGGGCCTCAGCGTGAAGATCATCCTCTCACAGAGCTGACTGTTCCCAGTTCTCACACAGCAGAGATCACAGCTCACACTGTTTCCAGCACCTTCTGCCCTCACTACAGGGCCCTACGGTGTGTATTCATAGGAGCCATTGTCTATATGACCATCAGCTAACAGGTTCTGCACATAGCTTTCAAAATGCCATTTTATCTTCTAAATACAGTAATGACTGGAAAGTTTGGCTTGGATTTTATAGACTTAGAGAAAACTCTGAACTTTCTACCTAGGGGGGGAAAAAAAACTTCACTGATACCAAACATAATCAAGTGGGTAGCAAGTCAGGAAATTATTTTCCTCAGTCACATCTGCCAACCTGCATGCTCTGAAAAGAGCAAACCACAGTCTGGAGGGCAAGAACAGCCATCAACTAGTTCTGTAAATAAAGTTTTTTTGGAACCCAGGTATAGCCTTTCACTGATATATTTTCTTTGCCTGTCTTCGTGGTACAACAGCAAAGATGAGCAGCTGCTCATAGACACAGTATAGCACACAGAGTCTACAACGTTTTTATTTGGATCTTCACAAAAAAGAAAAGTTTGCTGGCTCCTGCTCTAAAAAGACAGAAAGCCACAGTGGCGGAAGCACAGTGTAAGCCAGTCAGGGGAGAAAAGCAGGGGTGCGATGGGGAAGAGCAGAGCAGAGGGGATGCTGAGAGGAAGGGGTGAGGGAGGCAGATGTGCAGAGGCGGTGAGGGGTGCCACAGAGAGAGATGCAGGCCAGGAAGGCCACTTGAGAGGGAAGTCAGGCCTCAGAAGGCAGCACATTCCATCCTTTGAAATCATCTCCAGAAAATTACAGACCTGAGTGCAAATCCTGGTATGCATTGAACACTTCCTGAAACCTCTGTCTGGCTCTGTATGCGCGGATGGTCCAAAGTCCCCGCAGAGAAGATATTAAGTGGGATAATACCAGACTCCGAGCTGGGGAAGCAGAGACAGACACACGACAGAGAAAGTGAGGGAGGCTGGGTGTGAGGAAACCACTGCCTCCCAGGCTCTGTGGTCACACGTCCCACCAAAGGGAATCTTTCCTGTGACCCTCAAACTCCTGCTCACACCAATCTTCACTTTAATGACCTGGGAATGAGAGATTCTCTTTGAAATCCCACCTAGATTTAGATAAAGAAATTCATTACTGGTTCTTTCATCAAGGTCCTCTCAAACACGCCTCCCTCCAAACTCTTCTGGCATCTCTCCAGGTGGAAACTGTTCACAACTTTTTAAAAACATGTTGATTTATAATAATGTGTTAATTTCAGGTACATAGTATAGTCATTCAATTATTTTTTTCTGATTACCTTCCATTACAGGTTATTACAAGATACTGAATAAAATTACCTGTGCTTCACAGTAAATCCTTATTATTATCTATTTGACATATTAATAGTAGTGTGTCTATTAATCCCATACTTCTAATTTGTTCTGCCCTCCCTCCATTTCCCATTTGGTAACCGTAAGTTTGTGTCCTGTGTCTCTGAGTCTATTTCCATTTTGCATACAGATTCATTTGTATTATTTTTAGATTCCATGTATAAGTGATACCATATTTGTCTTTCTCTGACTTACTTTACTAAGAAATATTTTCTAGATCTATTTGCGTTGCTGCAAATGGCAATATTTCATTCTTTGCCATGGGTGAGTAATTATTGTTCACTAATTTTTGAATCAGTAGCATTCTAAAATTTAATTCCCAGTAGAGTCCTCACCACCCTGAATTTTAATGAACTATCTGAATTTTGTCTCCACTTTAGGTGAGTAACCTAAGGGCTGGGATAGAGTCAGGACATCCCTACACTGGAGCAGAGCCAGACGCAGGACAGGGGGAGACGAGTAAGGGGAGCAGACAGTCTGCCGTCTCCCCATCCTGGGCCTCTCCCTGCACCTGCGCCAGGAGCCTCTGTGTGACCGCCCTTGTGCCACAGGACTCATACAGCCAAGGAGTCTTTGAATAGCCTCGACTTCCACTCTGGGAACCTGATGGATGTTTTCATAACTGCCCTGCTGGATCTCTGAACCACAGTATGATCTAACACTTACCCCTTTGTATGCTGTTTAGGCAAAGAGCTTAAAGTGACTCAGAGGTGCTTCTGATCATCCAGTTGTGTGCCTGTGTTCTCATTCCAGCATCCACACTGCTCTCTCTCTCTTCACTCTATTGACTAATTTTATAGCTTCCTGTAACTTAGTGCTTATAAGAGCAACATAAACTCAGATTGAGCTCATGCTCCAAATAATAAAGGCTAGGAACTCTGTTCAGGCCTTTCCTGAACCCCAGCAAGTGTCCCAAACCACCTCCAGAACTCAGTCTGGAAACAGGGTGCTCACAGGAATGATGTAGGTGAATTCCAGGCCCCATCACCCTGTCAGGAGGATGCTGAGAGTCCAGCTACGGACAGCACAGAAAACTCACCAGAACCAGGCTCTTGTTTCCTGAGCAAATGTTGTGATGTCAACACTATTCATCAGAGACAAGGTTTCTGAGCAGGAAGCAGATGTAGACATTTAATGTTTCCCCAGGCAGAGTCCTGGAATGAACTCTCCAGCGTGGCCTCCCTCCCTGCTTCTCCATCAGGAGATCAAAGTGCAGCTGATTCTTTCCAGCGGGGAGGGAGGATGGGGTCAACTTTAGAAACCAGGTGTCACCTCAGCCTTGAACACCAGGGAACTCAAACACCTCATCACCCACCTCACCTCATGCCTAACAGTTACAGGCTGGGGGGATGTGGACCCATGAAAAGTCATCCTGTTCTTTCAAATCTCATTTAGGGCTGAGCAGGATGCCAGAATGCATGAACTGAAGGGTCTGTAAAGAAAATTAGCTAGTCCAGGGGCAGAGGGAATGTTTAGGGCTCTGGTGCTGTCTTGCCCAAAGTAACATCTTTTTCCCACAAGCACTAGTCCACAAGTCCTGAAGCAGATTATGTCACAGCCATGGTATCAGTCCACAGTCACAGACACATGTAACCCTACAGTTCACAGGACTGATGTCTGTGGTTCCCACAACCCTGAGGACACTTGGGGATACACCCCACCAGGACTGTAGATCTTCGCTGGCAAGGGGACCCCGGGCTGACAGCCCTGCTGCCAGGTTATCATTCAAGCTACGTGAGGCCTGCCAGTTGTTAAGTTCTTGATTCCCTCATGTTCAAGGTTCAGTGCCTTTCGTCATGGCCAGCAAGTACTTTACAAGCATTGATTCAAGAAATCCTCATGAGAACTCCAGAGACTGAGGGATTAAGAGCGCTCACTGCCCAAGATTAACCATATTAACCCACCTAAGTGATAGATCTGGGTGTGAGACCCAACTTTCCGATTCCCAAGGTTGTGCTTTTAATTACAACAGCAGTGTCTCGGAAAATAATCAGGGTTAAGGATGGCCATGTATAATGATGTGTATTTTTCTCCAGACTTTGTTATCTATGTGCAAAAACCCCTCAACTCTTACTCAGGTACCATCCAACAGCCTTCACCATTATTGGCCATCTTATTAAGCACCCGAGGTTGAACAAAGTACCTGGGAATCTAGCATGAGAACTCCTTAAATCAGCAGACTTGAGTATCCATGGTCCTAATACACCTGACACACATACTAACCCTCCCACAGTAATGCTCATAGCAGACACTGCAGGTTGATCGCAGCACTTTTTCAGCCAGAATTAGGATATGGCTTCATCATTCAGGCACTGCCAAATGCAAAAAGCTGGCTAGAGAAAGGCAGCCAAGTGTCACCCTGGTTTTATGTACTTGTCCATGACTGACCATTGCTATGATCACTTTTGTAAAAATGTGACCCTCAAAACCCCATTATAATTAGCTTCCAATATGTCATTAAGATAAAAATGTCAACCTAGGCTTCCAGAGGCAGCTAGGCAGTAGGATCTGAAAGTAAACCGCAGTGGTCCTTCAGAGCACAAGGCTGGAGCAGGCTTATGCCTTCTGGTCACAGCTGTCAGGTGTCCTTCTTTTTGCTGGTGGCTCCAGCAGGGACCCGAAGATATACCCTCACTCACTCACTCAATCGTGTCTGACTCTTTGGGACCCCATGGACTGTAGCCCCCCTTCTCTGTCCATGGGATTACACAGGCAAGAATACTGGACTGGGTTGCCATTTCCTCTTTCAGGAAATCTTCCCAACCCAGGGATTGAATCCATTTCTCCTACATCTTCTGCATTGGCAGGCAGATTCTTTTCTCACTGAGCCACCTGGGAAGCCCTAAAATATACTATCAGTTACTATTTAGAGAAAACAGCAGTGTTATTATTTATGGCACAGACCCACCACCTAGATAGAGAACATAGTTCTAATCAACTGGCCACCACATTTGGTTATTTGGGGTGTGGAGGAGGGGGTATCTGAATTGAATTTAGTGTCTAACTTGTTGCAGCCTACTAGGGTGCAAGAAAATCCAAATATGCCACAGAGATGATGCTAAAGTCCTCAGACTCTCCAGATCAAATATTGAGAAAATCCTGTATTGATTCTTGCAAAAAGCCTCAGGAGGAGCCCTTTTCTCCACTGCTGTATGGATGGGAAATGGCCCTTCCCCAGGCAAAAGTCTCTGTCAAGTGTTCCTTCTGGAACAACCCCTCACTGAATGTACCAGAGAGCTGCTTTTTAGCAGGGCCCTTGAATGACCTCATTTCATGGGCAACCTCAAACCATAAAATGACTGAAGCCTTGTCTTCACAGAAGACTAGATGGAGCTCATCATTCCTCTTCTGCCTCCCCAGGTTCTACTATCAACCAAGTAACATCAGCATGTCACACACATCTGAATTACTGCTCTCCATCCATCCAAACATATCACAAAATTAGACTAATGAGATAAATTCAATTATTTCATCATCTGTGATCACTTGTATGATAGAATGATTAGTCATAAAATGTGATCCCCATCATCCTTTTTTTTTTTTTTTTTTTTGCTGCATCTTACAGGATCTTAGTTCCCTGACCAGGGGTTGAAGCTGTGTCCCCACAGCAGAAGCATAGAGACTTGACCACAGACCACAGGGAAGTCCCTGTTCCCATTATTCTAAAACTAGGAAGTTGAATGGAGTAATAGACTAAATGCATACTGAACAGATCCCCCTCTTGTATTCTCCTAAGGGATTCTTTCAAGCATTGTTTACATGAATAGCTCTGAAAAAGGGGGGACCACAAACAGTGTGGTAACACCCCAAATACTAGTAACGATAAAGGGCAAACCTGAAAATAATAAGGCTTATCTTTTCAATAGGGCTTCCCTGATAGATCAGACAGTAAAGAATCCACCTGCAATGCAGGAGAACTGGCTTCAATCCCTAGGTCGGGAAGATCCTCTGGAGAAGGGAATGGCTATCCACTTAAGTATTTTTGCCTGGAGAATTCAATGGACAGAGGAGCCTGATGGGCTACAGTCCATGGGGTTGCAAAGAGTCAGACAAAACTGAGAGACTAACATGCATCTTTTCAATACACTTAACAACTGCAACTTACTTAAACATGTGAAAAAAATGTATTTTTCAAAAATATCACTTCTGACATATTTCCTAAGGTCTTCTTTCCTTTTTCAAATCTTTTCTTTTCATTGTCATTTCTGGTAACTTCAGGAGGAGAAACAATGTCTATTTTCCCTCTACATTAGTTCCAACAGGATAAAATATTTTTAAGAAGAGCATTTATAGAGTGGATACTCTGTGTTAAGAAATATATCATGAACAAGACAGAAATGGTCCCTGTCCTCAGGGTGCTCACATCCATCCTCCTTGTGCTAAAATGCAAAGCTGCAGCTGACCTGCCACCAGCTCTATTTGCCTTAAGAACTATGCCGGCTCACAGTGGCCATAAATTTCAATTATATAATGTTGACTTGTGAGAAATTCCAGAAGGCAGAGTCTGCAGAATTTCAGGGGTCTTGTTAATTATGGCATAAACAGAAGCCAGCCTGCACCGCCATCCCAACCTGAGAGCCCCGGTACTCACTTGTACGTTCTAAGCGTTTCACATCTCGTGATGTCCTTAAGAAGTACCACTGGAGGACAAAGAAAATGATGCCAAGAGGAATCACAGGTATAGCAATCCAAGGAACCGCAGCCACCATCACGCCCACCACGCCAATCATAAGAAGAAATGTCTGAAACAGCAAAAATAGATACAGAGGCATTCCTATGAAAGGTACTTTTCAAAGATAAACTGTAACGGTTTGTTCTGTTGGGATTAAACTCCTTTCCTCAAAAAGACTTGTTGGGAAAGCAGGGAATGCTTTCCCTTCCAAAGAAATAAAATTATAGGTAGACCTCATGATATCTAGTGCATATGCCAAACACTCTGATAAGAACTTTCTAGGTATCAGTTCTTGTGATACACTCAGTAGCCCCATGAGGCAGGCATTACTACTTTTAATAGAGAGAATACCTGAGGCTCAGAGAGTAGGAGCTGAATCCCAAACTATCAGGAGTCAACCAGTGTTAGTAGACAGATGAGCAAGCAGGCAGTACAGGTGAGAAATCGAGATACCTCAGCGATTCATGGAGGGATAAAGAAGTGGTTAATTACAAATTCAGTGTTCAGAAAAGTCGGATAAAATTTAAATGTTGACCTTCGGACACAGGAATTCCTCTTTCTAGATTTTCTATACATAGTTGATATTTACTGAGTGTTGACTGTATACAGGACTATACCTTCAAACCTTCAAATATATTAACTCATTAATCCTTACAATCCTTTATCTAGTAAGAGTATTATCTCATTTTACAGATGGAGACAGTGAGGCACAGGGAAAGGAAAAGCAACTTGACGGAGACTGAAAAGTCTAAGTCACGAAGCCAGGAAGCTCATGTCATGAGCATTTATGACATATTTAAGCTTGCCCCCAACATACAGCCATCTTTCTATAATTATACTAAGTATTTAAAATGCCCATTCCAAAAGGCTAGTAATTATAACAACAGCAGATGCCATTTACCAGGTGTTTACTGTATGTAAGACATTGTGCTAAGAGTTCCATGAACACTCTCTTAATCATCATATTATCCTATGAGATGATTTTATCTTGGGAAATGATCTCGGTCAAAAAAAGAGAGATGGTAGAATAGAAATGGCACCCCACTCCAGTACTCTTGCCTGGAAAATCCCATGGACTGAGGAGCCTGGTAGGCTGCAGTCCATGGGGTCACGAAGCGTTGGACATGACTGAGTGACTTCACTTTCACTTTTCACTTTTATGCATTGGAGAAGGAAATAGCAACCCACTGCAGTGTTCTTGTCTGGAGAATCCCAGGGATGGGGTCTCACAGAGTCGGACACAACTGAAGTGACTTAGCAGTAGCAGCAGCAGAATAGAAAACAAAATCATTGGTTGGCGATGATTTAAGCATCCATCTTTATCAGGAGAAGGATGATATCCTTACTTTTTAAGAATGCAACCAACATTTAGTGTCTGCTTGCTATGACAGTGGGGTGGGGTGGTGGGGATGTGCAGATTCAGTCTGGTCCAAGGCCTCCAAAGTTTGTGACCTCAGGTGGATATGAATTAATGGTGATTGGCACAAGGCAGAGTGCTGGGGAAACACAGTGAAGAATTCAGGAACATTTTTAGAAAATTCTAAGAGACTTAAGGATGAATTTTATAGACTGCTTTAACAAATAGACCCTAGAAAAGGGAACAGCTACCCACTCCAGTATTCTGGCCTGGAGAATTCGCAGAGTCGGACACAACCGAGCAACTTTCACTTTCACTTTAACAAATAGAAAGACTGTCAAGAATAACTTGCAGGCAGTAACTAGAATTGATGGTACTTTTGACCAAAAGGGAGCTGGGATGAGAAGGTTTGATGCCTTCTGAGTTAACACTGGTTGTTCTGTGTCTTCCCAGCACCAGCATCTGTACCCTGTGCTCACTAGCCAGGGCCTCCCCACCTTGTCACCCAGGGCTGCTGGCCAAGGCGCATCGCTGAGGGATGGGTAGGCGGGGTAAAATGTTTGCATCATAGAGACTTGTATCATTTCACAGCTCTTCCAGATTGAGTTATCTCGGAGGATCTTCACACCTATCTTGTGAATGAGAAAAGTAAGAACTTCATTTTCATTTACAGATACAACATAAAGATGGGAGGGTAAGTGACTGTCCTACATTTTTCTAGGAAGGATTGCAGGTCAAGGAGAAAGGCAGGAGTGGTTTGTACTCAGGGAATCCTAGAGCCACAGTTGCAGGCAGGAGGAGCCTGGAAGGAAGAAGAAATGTCCAGAACCGTGATTGTGTCCATGAGCCCTTGGGAACCAAACTCTGTTATCTCGATGGAGACCCATGTGCTTCTCTTGTTTCTCCCACACTTGCCGTGGTATTGAAATAAAACACAGAGTGAGGAGGATGGGATTCCGAAGCATTACATTCCAGTTGTAAGTGGAGAAAAAGAGGCCTGCCTGACCTCTCTCCTATTAGATCTACAGATCTATGTCTGGTCTTAAGTCACTTGACTTGCCATTGTTGGTTGTCAAAAAACCCTGCTAAAACATCAATAAAAAAGTCCAAATTACAGTTTTTTAGCAGACTCACATTATTTTATGGCCAACATTCATCAGTTTCAATAATCTGGCTCTCCCCATGTGAGGGCCTTTTAAGACTAAACACAGCCTGGCAGATAGCCTGGGAAGTAGAGGTAAGGAAGTAGAGGTATCAAAGTGAAGGGCTTCACAGGAACTAAGCCAATGCATTTTCCTTAGGTGCCCATTTTTTTTTTCCCATTGAAGTCCCATTATTAATGCTCTCAGATGCTCTGAAGTTAGGTCAAGTCCTTCAGATTTCATTCCCCTAAATTCTGAAGCAATTCAAAGAGGATGCCTCTAACACATACTTATGGGTAATACTATAGCCACCCTCATTGTGGATTGAATATTATATATATATAAACAGTGTATGGGTTTACAGCTATATGTATACACATTTGTGAACCTTTAATGTCAGCTATCTCAAACCCTTTACAGAAGTTGGCAGATGAAAATAGTATCTAAGCAAAAATCATTTGAAGAAGGAAACAAAAGATTCTTGTGTGCAATACACATCCCTTCCTTAAAGCCAACCTCATTTCTTTCTCCTATATTCTCAAGAATTCCAAAAAGTTCAGATCAAGCTACACACAAAATTCCCCCCATCTGGTTCTACTTCAGGCCCAGTTGATGGGCCACATCATCATGGCCAGTGCTTCTGAACCTCTATCTCACAGGCACAGAGACAAGGATGGGCCTACAGAAAGAAGCATATTGTCCCAGAAGCAAGTGACTCAAGTCCTGATGCCCCCCCCCAAATAAGGAGAATCATTATTTTTATATATTTCCCATTTGGAGCACATCATTTGGGAAATTCTTCCCAAAGTCTATGAATCCACATGAAAAATTATTTTAAAAATCTTAGATGAAATCTTCAACTTGAAAGAAAATGGTGATTTTTCAAAATTCAGAAAAATTCTTTAGTTTGTGGAGAATGACAGCCTATACCTGGAGGGGAAATTCCACTAGCTCAGTATTGTTCTGAGACAGGGCTTAGGACAAACCTTCCTGAATATTATTAACAGGGATGGTAAGACTCTACACCCACTCACAATCTCAGTAAAATCTGGGATATACCAGAAACATAAAAGGATGGTGGTAGGAAATAAAAGGTAATGAAATAAAGTGCTAAACAGATCAAGCATAACAAACAGAAACTCTAACTCATCATCACCACCCTCCAGTGTGCTTTTCATGCTAGCAGCCAGGAGAGGAGGGGTGAGGTATTCACAGATTTATGAGTCCCCCAGATACTAAGAATCTCATGAAGTTGAGCCCTAACAGACCACTCATTCTAACCACTAGGACAGTTTAGTATTATCTAGAGACATATCAGAGCAGGTGCTACTTTTCCTAGATGTGGTGATGATGTCACACATACCAAAGTGACTGTGGCTTTTCTTTGATCACAGTGAAAACTGTATCAGACAATCATGCTTGTCTATTTTGTTTGAAGATGCACTTTTAAAATAATATGATCAATAAATTTCATGTCTACTACAACTTTTGTCCTCTCTGTATTATCCTCCCCACTCTAGGTCTTCCAAAGATTGATAAACTTAAGGACATGGCAGTAAGCAACATCTTTTGAGATGTTTCTTTCCTTTTTAAATTTTTTTTAAAGAGATGTTTCTTTTCTTATTCCATATCTTCTTTCTCTTTCAAGTTATCCTTTTTCTTAGTGAAGAGTTACTGTTTTGACACTCCTAAGTATTTATGGGAGACTAAGGGAAAAAGTGATGGGCCTCTGAATCAAAAAAACCAAACCAGATTATTCAATATAGTCCAAAGAGAAGAATAATTTGACATTTTCTATTTCATGCACCATAAACTGGTATACTGATGCCAATGGAAGGATAAAATCTAGATTTTGTAAATACTTGAATCTTAGGAAATTCAACTGTGTCCACTCCAGGTTGGCATTCTTGGTGGAAGCAAGCAGCCTGGTTAGAATGTCAGGATGACTAAGGCAGAGAACATGTCACCACCACCTATGGAAGGAAGTCCCATGAGCACCTTTCTTCCTATGAAAGGATACTGCACTGTGAGCAGCTGTTTATGACAAGCCACATTGGCATCTAAATGAACTGTAAATGAAATATATAAAAAAGCAGCAAAGAAAAGAAAATAATGCTTGTGAAAATGTTAATGGTCTTGTTTAAAACCCTATCCAACCAAAAACAATTGAAAAATAAGACATTGTTTTATTGCTAGAGGCCATGACAAGTTTTCTCATAACACAGAAATTTCACAATTCTATAAATTTAGCCAACAAGCAAAGAAGTGATGGTCACCCCATGCTCTCAAATATCAATTATGGGTGACATTTTATAAGACTTGCCACGAGTCCCAACCTCAAGTATTTCACAGGCTTTATGTAATCTCATTATTACATCAATATGAGGAGGGATTATCCTCTCTGTTTACAAAGCAGGAAATTGATACTTAAAGAGGTCTATTGATTTGCCCAAATTTAAGTAATTCAGTCATTATGACCCCAAGTCTTTTAATTTCTGCCTGATACTGCATCACATATAAAGTTCACATTCTAAAAATTAATATCTAAATAAACTCCTCTTTTGTATATTT